TAGCTGCTGTTGCTTCTCGGTCTGAACAAAGAAATAAATTAATAAAAATTTTTTTAAATGACAAAAAATGCATCAGCCGATCGAATCACATACAAAATGATGCCTATATCATCAAAACTGCTAGAGGACCCATAAAAGAGCACACTTTTTTTTACCGGAATACCCAGCATTGCTCACAGAAAGCATCTTTTTTTAGCAGAATGAATTACTTGTTTTATTAATTTTATCACCAGAAGTGAAAGGCATTACGACACGCGTGCTACCAGCTCATCTAACACCTGATACCAATAACATTAAGCGGTTATCCACCAATGTTTTTATTTGATTCTTATAAAATTAAGTTTAATTCTTTTTGATTCTTACAACTTTCTGATTCTTATAACTTTAATTCCTCCTGATTCTACTTTATAACTTTCTGATTTTTACAATTTATAGCCTTTATTCTTCTAACACCAATTCTTCCCCAATTATAACTTCCTATTGTAATTCTGAACCTGTCTCCAGAAGATGCAATACGGGCACAGTGATGCACGGCACGTGGCCAGAACTTCACCATCAATGACATGCGGCAATTGGGCCATCGCTGCCTCCACCTAAAATAGCACTTAATCACACCAGTAGCAATTGCCGGACCCAATTAGATGATCAATTAACCAAGCTATCGAACACACAGACGACACACAGACACAGACACAGACACACACACGCACACACACACGCACAAAAAACAACCACCATATAAAAGCGACAGGGGCAGCAGGAGTAGCAAAATTCGCTGATTGCCAGGGGCAGATCTCTCATTCCTCTTCATTCTCATTGAAGGCAGTCGTCTGCTATAATGAATTTCACGCGTTTACCTCGGTATAATCGGAGAAGTGGACGATTGCGAACTTCGTGAGTCCCGAGACAGTGCAATCATCAGCGAGGAACACTTTCTGCACAGCACCCCATCGCGAGAAATATGCAACGATCGTTGCCGTGGTGACGCTCCGCGGCAGTCTTTTAACACATAACTTAAAGGCCCGAACAGGTAGCATTGCGTAGAACGGCGGCGCTTCCACATTCTACAAAAACAGTACATCAGGCCACAGTCAATTCTGGCACCAGCACTCGGCTCGGCATATCGTGGATTCATTGCCTTCGGTTTACTGTTCCAGACATCAAATTGGTACCAAACTTTGGGAACGAGGACGAAATTGGGGAAAAAGTACGCAGACGCAGTCGGAGTTTTGCCTCGGGCATTATTACGCCTAATGCCGGAAACAATACCCCTAAGATCCACCAATAATACCTATGGAAGAAGGCGAGAGATAAGGACGGGGGATGCCGGTCGAGACGGATCGGAAGATCGAGAAGATCCGAATTGGCTCCGTAAAGAAAATGAAGTAACCGCCACAAAAATTCAAAATTCAATAAAAAAAAAAGACATAAAAAGTGGAGAACGCCGTTGAAAAATCGGCTGAGGGAAGTGCGAAAGTGCACTGGGAGTCCAACAAATCAGCCCAGAAACATCGGTGGAAGACAGCAATAATATGGCAATAACTGACAATTCTGGCAACGAAAATACCGACTGGCAAAAGGGTGTGGAGCATGGCCAAGACCATTCTGTAGAGGAACGAATTTGAAGAGCACCTCGTACATGGTAGCAACAGACAAAATGATAACACGTAATCGGGAAACCCGTGATTCAGGACCGCAAGGAGGATGAGGCCAGGGGTTGGGGGTAAGAAGTTATCAAAGCTCAGCTGCTCATGCTATTTGAAAAATCCTCTGCGGCTACGCTCAGCTGGCCAACAAAAACCAGCGCTGCCTTTGGCTGCACCGTCATACATAAATTCTGTGAGTCCTACGTAATAGCAAATAGTAATAAAGATATTAATAATGGTAAATTATATTAAAAAACCAGTTGAAGAAAGGGAATTGAAGTTGATAAAAAGTTGAAGTTGAAGAAGAAACGAAACTACTTAAAGAAAGGGGGAAAGAAGAAAAAAAAGTTCCGGCTTATGAAAAAGAAAGGGAAGAAGGGGCAATGGAAGCCCGACTGTAGACTAAAGTGGAAATAAAAACCTCAGTACCGTGCGTGCTAGCCTGAAACATATGGTTCAAAAACATCTTACCCAATTATAATAATCTAGCAATAGTGGTAATCTAGAAATAATAATCTAGAAATCGGCCGTTGATCAACTTTTTCGGCCGTTGATAGGCCGAACCAGACATTCTGAAGCAACGGCCAGCCCCAGACATGCAAAAGACGGTGTTATATACGAAGTCATACACATTCCTGTTTTAGCATCATAACTATACTTAATCAGTACGAAAGTTTATGCTACTGGTAAGGGATAATGTAAATAAACAGTGGCGCGCATCAGGGCAGCCCTTGCGATCATGCGTTTTGTGCAATCCCTTCCATCGAACGATTGTTTGCTAATGATTTTAACTACTTTGCACTTTGGGTATGCGCAAAAACAGTTGAAATGTTGTCTGGTTCTCAAGCTGCGGAATTTCCCACTAAAAATTTCACGAGCACAAGATAAAAATTTCTCTATTAAAACTTTCAAGTGATACCCAGGGATGCGTGAAGGCTGAATCCAAACTTGCGAGGTCGTACGTTTGTAGGGGAAGTCATCCTAAAATTTCAGATTCTCAACTTCCGCGGTCCCTCAAATAATTTTCCTGCCAAAACTTTCATGGGGCTATGATAATCGGACGCGCGGAAAGGATGAATTTAAAATTGCAGGACTGTATGTGGGCAAAATTTCAGCTTCCTAGATTTGCAAAAATTGCAAAATTTCAGCTTCCTAGATTCCGTGGAACCCGAAATAATATACCCGGCGAAAGTTTTACAGGGCCGTATATGTTACCCGCGGGCACGGCAAGGCTGAATTTAAATTTTCTACGTCGCGCATGGGCAAGGAACATATCCATAAAATTCCCGCTTCCTAGCTCCCGCAGTTCCCGAAACAATAATTTGCCCGCCAAAATTTTCATGGGGCCATAGATGATGTCCGAGGGCACAGGAATGCTGAAATTGAATATGCAAAGTCGAGCGTGAATAGGTATCAGTACTCTAAAATTTTAGCTTCCTAGATTCAGTGGTTCCCGCCAAAATTTTCACGGGACCGTTCGTGTTTTTCGCGGGCAGGAGGATGAATTTAAATTTTCTTGCTCCCATTTGGGCAGGGGACATGCCCACAAAATTTCAGCTTTCTAGCTTCCATGGTTCCCATGATAATAATTTTACCCGCCCAAACTTCTATGGGGCTGTATGTGTTACCCGCGGGTACGGACAGAATGAATTTAAATTTTGCGGGGTCACGTTTGGGCGGAGAACATTCCCCTAAATTTTTAGCTTCCTAGCTTCTACGGTTCCCGAGTTGAAGGCTGCAAACAAGTTACTGCGGAGGCACACACACACACACACACACATACTTACACAAAAACACACACACACACACATACAGACAACCCCGTGACAATATGCGTTTTGTACTGCTATTGCACAGCACAAAACGCATAAATAGGA